ATCAGGGTTAAAAGCAAGAGTATCCCATATCATGCTTTTTCCCTGTCTTTTCTTTTGGCCTTGTTTTTACCTGCAAGACAAGGAGAAAGAGAGCAATCAGTCAGCACTTGGAATCAAGCTTCCAGCCAGGAACTGACTGCCTGGAACCCCTTACCTGATTACTTACCTGGCATTGCTCTCGAGTACTCATCTTCAACATCTTATGTTTCCAGGGAAGATTCCGCATCTGCTTGAGGAACAGATAGGGCAAGTGCGAAGGATACAAGGAAGCATGTGGAGACAAGCGTAACAGCACACGTGCCGATACATCCATTACTCTGTCAAAAGCAAAAGTATCCCATATCAGCAGGGTGGAACGTACTCTAGATTTGATGGACTTGTTTTGACCCTCAAATTCTTCAGTCGGCCTTAATACTCTGGAGGAAACCAGAAAAACCCTCCAGCTCAGTTCAAGAATAAGCCTGTGGAAAGTTACTTCTTCAAAAGCAAAAGTATCTCATATCATCTCTTCTCATTTTTCTTCTCTTTATCCTTCATGCTGCTGCAAGATGGGGAGAAGGTGAACAATCAGTCGGAGCTCTGATTGCTTACCTTGTCTGTCACCTCTTTCAGCAGACCCCCTAACTCGGCGACTTGGGGGACTCCTACTACATGGTTTGTATCGCGCTTGACCAAGCCTGAAACTACAAGTAAGCTTCAAGTGAAATTGATACATTACCTTGTGCATCTCCACCAGTTAAAGATACCACCCCTGGATGGAGGAAGAGTACTTCCAGAGAAGATGCCACATCTACCTATGAGACAGATAAGGCAAGTCAAGACGACACCACACTCCGATACTTAGAAGTTTCGTGATTACGAGATCATTCTCCCACAATATTTCCTAATGTCATTTGTACTAAATCTTTCACTTGTACTCACTAAAGGAGAGCTTGAACCTATGTACTTGTGTAAACCCTTCACAATTAATGAGAACTCTTCTATTCCGTGGACGTAGCCAATCTGGGTGAACCACGTACATCTTGTGTTTGCTTTCCTATCTCTATTCATTTATATACTTATCCACACTAATGACCGGAGCAATCTAGCGAAGATCACAAAAAGCGACCGTTTTCGCTACCTAGGATCTATCTTGCAAGAGAACGGAGAATTAGATGGAGATCTCAACCATAGAATACGAGCTGGATGGAAAGAGTGCATCCGGCGTGTTGTGTGACCGTCGTAGGCCACTGAAGCTCAAGGGAAAATTTTATAGGACGACAATAAGGCCATCGATGTTGTATGGCACAAAATGTTGGGTGGTGAAGCATCAACACGTACACAAAATGGGTGTAGCGGAGATGAGGATGCTTCGTGGGAGGTGTGGGCACACGAGAAAGGATAAGATTGGGAATGAGGATATCCGAGGTAAAGTAGGAGTAGCCGAAATTGTAGGAAAGATGAGAGAAAATCGGCTCCGGTGATTTGGACATGTGCAAAGAAGGCCGACTGACGCTCCGGTTCGAAGATGTGACTACGGGACAGAGGTCCAGGGCCGAAGGGGTAGAGGAAGACCTAGGAAAACTTTGGAAGAGACTCTAAGAAAAGACTTAGAGTACTTGGATCTAACGGAGGACATGACACAAAACCGAGCGCAATGGCGTTCTAGGATTCATATAGCCGACCCCACTTAGTGGGAAAAGGCTTTGTTGTTGTTGTTGTTGTTGTTGTTGTTCTTTCTATTGTTTCCTTTTGCGACCAAGTGGTGATGACTATTATATAAAGGCATTGCAGGCACATTTTGCATTCGAGGTTTGGCAGGATTTCTCGGTTGGATGGCAGATTCATTACAAAGCCGAATTTGTCTATAAGGAGTTTCATCGGATATTTGATTAATGCAAGAACACGAAGGCCAGTTAAAGAAAAGTTAGTTCATTATTTGTACATCTGTAGGGACTCTCTACCAAAGAAACAAAGAGGAGAAAGCAGAAGGCCTTTTCGCTCCCCCTTTGTTTTCTGGCCTTTCACAATACTCCTTTTAATCGAATTATAAACCGAGATGATTGTATTCCTTTCTGTCGATGAGTATTTTGTCCGCGTTGAACGATGATTCTTGTAATTCTCTTATCTTTGGAAGCGTAATGTTACCAAACACTCGATGGATTGGTTCGTTTGCAAGACTTTGCACTGTGATTTAGTTTGTTTCATAGATGATATTTTATGCATTTTTTAACTTCTTTTTTAATTCCTTGGAGGAGAAGTTACAGTTTGGTAGCAGAATTTTGTTTTTTCATTTGGAGTGGTTGCTATTGTGAAGATGATGAATTATTTTTCTTTAATCTTTTCTTAACTCTCTTTTACATAAATGAGTTCTAACATGAGTCTTACAAATTAATAAATTACATCCTGTAATTTAAAAAATAATTGATCACATGGTTCTACGGTAGTTTTCAATTTTTGCATTTCTTTGAAAAGTTGCATAATGGTTTCTTTATCAATACATTCAAAAATATTTGTCGCAATGCAAACAATTAAGGTGTAACTCGCGCACTGATCTCTCATTTGTTAAGGATTTGTTAAGGATTGGAAGTTTAATGATATTCATGGTGGAAAAATACTCTCCACTAAGTTGTTGCAACTAGTAATAGTGACGGTAACACTAAAGAGGCTTATGGTTTGACAGGATAATGGATTTGGGAATGTGAAATTTTCTTTCACATTTTTGGTGTGTCCAAGATTGGAAATAAAATTTTGCGAGTTCAAGGAAATTTGTAAATTAGTACTCTCCCTTTTCTTTGCGGGTCACTTAGGGTGCGTTTGGTACGTGGGACGGGATGGGACAAGGTGTTCCGTCCCGCATTTGGTGAGCCAAAAAATGGGTGGAACGAGCTGTTCCACGAACATATTTTGGGTGTTTTTGCGTCCCACCTCCCCCCTGGAACGGGTTGTTCCACATCTGTGGAACACAATATTTTACCATTGTAAGACAAATATACCCCATATCTTTTTCAAAAATTACACCATCTAAATCATTCAATAAACCTTAAAAACAATCTTCTCTTCTCTCTGCCGCTGTCTTCATTTCATCCTCCTAAAAAACTATCATTTCTCCTCTTTGCCGCTGTGAATTTGTTCATCCCTGCATCTCCCCTTCGCAACCTTCCTCCTCATCCTCTTCCGTGTGGCCTCTCTGTGAACTTTCAGCTCTGCATCTCCGTTCCAGGTTTGATCTGATTGTGATTATGTAGCCTCTCGGTCTCTCCGGTGCCGTCACCATAGCCAAGCCGACGACGACGACGACGTATGGAGCGCATACAGGCTGAGAAGGACATTTTTGAAATTCAGGGTGAGGTTGTCCAGCTCCGATTCGGCAAGGAAGAGGCTCGAGAGGCTCTAGATCTTGCCAGGGTGGCTGCTGCTGATCAGGAGAAGAGTTTGCACCAAAAAAAGTTGCAGTTGGCTGCTTCCTCGAACAAGATTGAGGAGTTGGTGAGGGAGCTTGAAAGGATTGGATGATACGATATAATGAATGATCTAGTTTGGTTAGGATTCATAATCTAGGGTTTTGAATTGGGATTAATTGTTCAAGTAATTTTTAATTCTGCTGATTGTCTATGTTATGGGTGTTTTTGTGTAATTAGCTTCTGTTCAAGTAATTTTTAATTGTGCGAAGTGTTGGATAATGTTTGATTGACTCTGGGATTTTGTTTCCATTTAGTTTTTCCTATGGAAAAGTGAGGGCATTTACTATTGATTTGGAATTGAAGAACTAAACTTTAAACCTTTCCTTGGTGTTGAATTTCAAACCTCTACCATCTGCCCAAAGAATTTCATTATCTTCGACCAGATCATCGAAGTCAGATTATGTTCAATCCTGAAATTGCCCACAAAATTACTGGTCCTGTCTTTAACCTCTGTGTAGCTTACATCCAAGACAATTTGGGATTGATAGCTTGTTGAAAGTTTTCTGGTTTTTAATTAATTGGGGTTTTCTTGTGCTTATTGTAAGGCATATGATGCATGGGTAAGTTAGTATTTTAATCTTTAGGTTCCGTTCCGTCCTGCTCATAACAAACACAAAACGGAACAACTATTCTGTTTCGTCCTGTGCGTACCAAACATGACACGGAACCTTCGTTCTGTCCCGTCCCGTTTGCATACCAAACGCTACATTAAGTTGTCTTTGATTGGAATGAAATCTTGGATCTATGGGTCAAGAGCCTGCAGACCGAGATGTCTAGGGTTGCCTTTTTTGGGTGAGTGACATAGGACTTTGGCTTCTCTGCCCTTCCACTTCCCATACATTCTCATTCCCTCTTCTTTGTGCGGTCACGATTAAACAACGTCAAAATTGGAGGGGACAAAATTAGAGGGGACGAGAGTGTATGGGAAGTAGGAGGGCAGAAAAGCTGGGTCCGAGTGACATGACCTAGGATTAGGGTTTGGTGTTTTTTTTTTATTATTATTAACCAGGCCCTGGTGCGAAGTCAATTTGGAGAATAGTGATTCTATTATTCTTACAAGGAAGTGATATTTATACAATAGAGGGCAATACAATCCCGGACAATAAGGGAAATAAATCTAATTACAATAATAACCCCTATAATTAGGAATTTTAAATATACAAAAGTGAACAAAAACAATACAAAATTGAAGTCTGAATAATTTTCAAGTCTCTCTTTCTATTTCCTTTAGAACTTCATTGTCGTCATTAGTAAAGATCACGGCCTCTAATTGGAGAGAAAGAGGACTAAAGATGAGGTCGGCAAATTTTTAGGTTTTAGAAGTTTCAATATTTACAAAACTACTCGAAATTGTCTTTTACATATACAAAAATGCCCCTGCTGTGTCTTGCGGCTATAGAGTTTGTAGATTTAGGGTTAAAAGAGGAAGGAGAGAGGATTTCCAACATACTAAATATTGAGTTTTAAATAATAGTGAAGTCCACATGTCAACAATTGAGTGAGAAAAGACGAGTAGGAGAAGATAGATGATATCTACCATCTCTCCTGAACCAAGTATCCGCAAAACAATAATCTTAATCCCTTGAATCATATATAATGTCAATTCAGGTTGGAAGTTCACGGCATCCTTGAAGATCATCAAGCCAACAATATTGTGAACTCTATGGCTTGATAGGCTTTCTCGTACCATCACGTACGTAATATATGATGCATGTTATTTTCGCCACAAGTACACATTATACAGGGACTAGGGAGGCTCTTAATTTCTTTCATTTTTCAGGGAAAATATTATTTATATTTACACATACGTAGTGTCATATTTCATCCATCTTATACTGCGATTGACACCTACAACAGTAGTGTGCCACTGCAAGTGTTGGCAACAATTTGGCTGTAAAATATGATGCCAATAATGTGAGATGCTGAACAGCAGCAGCGGCAGCAACACATTATTATTATATGTAGCATCTGATTGGGGTCCCGTGAGTCTCATTGTTTTTATGCGCATGCATGATTTGAAGAGAGCGGTGAGGTTTTACTACTATTATTGTTAGAAGACCACTCGAAAATTCTCCGGAAGGGTCTATGTCTTTGGTGCTTGCGTTTGGCCGGCGGGTGGTTGTCTCTGTCTCCACTCAGCATCTGCCACATCACTTGCACATCTTGATACCCACATGTTTGTACATCATCGTGAAGCTTCAAAAGCCCATCACCTGCATCCAAATTCAACCACACAACCTTTTCACCACACAACCTTTTCAATTATCCTTAATAAAATCTGAAATATATTGAAAATATATAAAGTGGTACGGGTTTTGTGATTTCGACAACAAGGTTGCATCAGCATAGATGCTGATTCTATCTTTAGGCCTCAGCTTTCGGCTCAAGGACGAAACGAAGATTGGTCACTTACCACAGTCCCACCCTTTCTGAGTTGGAAAAAAATAAAATAAGTATGGTCCCTAAAAGTTTATATCACTTTAAAAGGTCTCAAATCACTAATTATGACACACTTTTGTCAGTTTTATACGAGTACAGCTACTATGATACGTACTATTAGTAGTACAAATTTTATACGAGATCTAACCGTTGTAAGGATGCATCAAATCCTTATATATCTCCATATCCAAGATCTAACCATTAAAATTCTAGACCACTGAATATTATGTATCATGAAACAAATTCGTCTAGGTTTCAAGTGTATTCCTCGAAATCTGCAATGGGATCTTTCAATGCATAATTTCCATCTTACTACTCTCAAGTTTTCAAATATTTTAATTTTACAATCCAAAGTTTCTTTCATCTCACTTTCATACCATTTTCATACATCAACTATTCTTTTCGTCAATAATTGACGGGAAGAGAAGAAGAAAAACCGTAGGACATTAGAGAGAAACCTAGACGAATGATACCATGTAGAAATATGACTTTGTGTAGTGATGTGTGTAAATATTGCAATACATATAGGATTAAACAAATTCCTTTTTTTTTAGTAAGTATCCTATAATAATTGAAAAATTATAATACATGCAATAATTACGAAGATGATTCCAAATTTATTTCCTTTAATCTAACAGTCCTCCATTAATTGAAGAAGTGGCGCATTTTGTCCCACCAAATTTATTCCACGTGGAGTGATATAAGGGTCAGTCATGTCACCAATCAATGAAAGAATGGATGTATGAAAGTAATAGGAAAATCAATGTTTGAGGCTTTGAGTAAGAAAGTGGGACAAACAAAATAAACATTTAAATACTAAAGTCAAAAAAATTAAAAACATCATGGAAGTTACTCTTCAGTTAATGTCATCAAAGTTAGATTTAACCACTTAGTGTTACAGTTTAGTAATATTTCTCTTTACTTATAAGTGAGAGGTCTTAGATTTGATTATTGTTAAAGACCAATACGATCCAAATTAATATGACTAGTCTATATCGAATGTATTAAAAAAATCAAATTTTTAAAAATGCCTTTTTTTTTCTTTAGTGTTTGCAAGAATTTAAAATGGAAAACAAAACAATAACTTTGCAGAAGGTTTGGTGGAATTCATCATTATGTTGGAGAGAACTTCCCAAATGATGGAATCAAAACTTGTCTTCTCAAATTGTTTAAAGTTACTAAAATTAAAATTTTCACTATTTTTAAGTTTTAGTGTGGGAGGCTGAGTGTTTCTTTATTACATTTGGATGTGAACTGAAATGAAAAAGGCATCAGATCACTAGATTTTGCTTTTCTTTCTAATTTGGCTAAGTGGAGTAACAGTAAGCTCCATTACCAGTACCTCTTAATTAATTATTAAAATGAAGGAATAAAAAAACCACTCATAACTTTTCGGTAATGGACCCTCATTTTGACTAATGTTTTTTTTTTTGGGTACAAACAAATTCATTTACCCAGGCACCGACAAAATTTAAATGAATTCTATCATCCATTAATTTTTCCTTTTATTGAAAACTATAACTTAATTGACTTTAGTATTACGGTCCAATAGTCTTCAATTTATAAAAGACAGAGATATAGCTATAAGCTCAATGGGCTATAGCCTAGTGCAATTCTTGGAAAAAATAGAAATTACTACTATGATTTAGCCTAAATTTGTGAAAATAAAATTTCAGCCCATCCTAAATCTGATTTACACTCCATGCTTCAAGGTAAGGAAAATATTAGCCCACTCCTATATAAATTTCTAGCTCTGCCGTTATTGTAAGTAAGGTATTAAATTCGACCCTTGTAGAATGAAAATTTAACAGTAATTTATTGTAACTGACCAATTGTGTGATTTAATCTAAGTTTTGCATCTTTTAGTGTAAATACATTATTGTATTAACAAATTATTTGAATTCACATATACTTTTGTCTACAGGGGTAAAGTAAAAATATTCATTTTTTTTTTTGTCATGTTCATCATGGTAAGATAGAGAACTTGATGATGTTATAATCATCAATGACTAGATTTTCTTGTGGCCTTTTCTAGAAGTTTTGATACTTGTGGATGATTAAAAAAATGTTCAATGTACACAACCTAGAGGGATAGGGGAGATTTTCTAAAGTGCTGAATACACAGACCAGCATACCAAGTGTTATAATACTAGTGATTCCAACACATTAAAAAAATGGAGCCAATCATATTAATTGTATTGACTTAGGTAGAAGAGTGTTCTTAAAATAATTCTAAATATGGCTGATAAATAAGGGACCACACATCAAAAATTAGAGAAGTGGGGGAGGTTTGATAGCCAAACATGACACCTATTAGAAAACGTTATATAATACTCAGCGATGTAGCAAAAATGAAATTTAAAAAATCCTATCAGCACTAACATTACTCATGGATTAACATTAGAAATCAAACCGGTTTGCAACAACCACTTTGAATCAAAATTAATGATAAAGTTTTAATGTTACGTGGAACTCAGTGTTACTGATGTTTTAACCACTAAATTTGAATTTCACAGTTGTTAAATATTTTATTTTTGATCTCATATGTTTATATTTATTTTTCAATCATTCATGGCCAAAAAAAGTGCAAAATAAAGGAAAATTTGTTTGACAAAGGAATGAAATTAAAACATGCTTTCAATGAACACAATGAAAAGGAAACAGAAAAAAGAATACAGAGACGAGGAAAAGGATTAGAATAAAAAAAGAAAAAAGTGGGAGCGTCTATCTATATGAATTATGAAGCTTAATATCTAGCATGGAAAATTGTGAATCATCCACCTCCAAGTTTTCCAAGAGAAAAAAAAGAAGATAAATGGATTAGGTGTAGCTGGCTTGTAGGGCTAAGATATAATTCCAAGTGCTACACTTATATATGCAGCAGATTATGAATAAAACAAAACTATACAATATACATAGATAAACTGAGAAAGAAGAAGAAGATGATGATGATGATGATGAGATGATATATAAGTGAGTGACTGACCATTTTTGCGATCCTTGACACGAGTAGAGACGGCAAGCCAAACACGGCGGACAGGGAAGATCATCTTGTCCCAAAAATCCATCAACCTTTCTTTTATCACTTTTACTTTCTTTCTTCCTTTCCTTTTCCCGCCGCTCACTCTAACTGCTGCTGTGCTGCTCCTTATCCCTGCCAGACCTGCACTCTCGTCTCTCTCTCGAGAATTAATAAGGATGACACAAAGAAATGTTTTTACAGAGACTCAAGAGAGATTAAGAGGGAGGCGACTTCGAACTCAGAGAGCTATTGAAAACCTATATGTACAAATGCTGTGCTCACCACCACCAATAAGAACCACCGACACATCTCTCTCTCTACTCCTCACTGTTCATTATATTCTTTATTTAATCTCTACTTTTTTGTGTAAGAATAAGACTTTTTAATTATGTTGGTCTACAAAAATACATCTTCAAATATATATGATCTCATTAGTTAGAACTAGGTTGACGAATTCTAAAAGAAGAAAAAAAGGCAATTAGGTAGTATAGATATATTTTTACATTTTGATGTAGAAACGATCAGTGTTTATTGTATCTTCTTTGTATAGTCGTTATGTTATAATTTTGTCGTCGATATATGATAAATATGTCCTTCTAATTGAAAAATAATTATTCTACAAGTTAATTATGATATTAACTATTTTTGCATCCTGCAATACTGACAGCCTACTGCTGTTTTGAGAAACAAGTTGTGAAATTCCGAAGGTACAAAATTATCATTTTGCCCCTTGCTTTTAAACGTGCACAACTCATTCATAAAAACGAGTAATATCCAAATAAAATGAGAAAAAGAGTAATAAGTGAAAAAAAAAAAAACTCAAATGTCCACGCATGATCTTCAACCAAGACTTTCACTTAACACGCTGATGATATTGTAGGGTAATGCTAGAAAGATTAAATTTAGAGATTAAATTTGTAAACTAAATGATGTGTCATCAATAGAAATGAACATGTTTATCAACGCTTAAGTAATAAACTAATCATCATCTTCTATGTCCTTTAATTTTTAACATTTAATTTATAAATTTAGTCTCTCTAATATTTTTTTTTTTTTTTGTAATTTACAGTGTCTGAGGATAAAATCTAATAAAATGATAAAAATACGGATGGAATGTAGCATCATCTCCATTTAGTCACCGTTCATGGTGAGCAATTCCATTAGTCATCCGGCAACTACTATAAAATAAAAGGAACCTTCTTGTCACAATTATTTTGTCTTCATGTCAACTCATTTCATAAAAAGTCTTTGGTGTGAGTTACACGTGGCCAGTGTTTCTCAAAATTAAATATTCAATTAATGCTTGTTCACTTGTATTCTACACGTAAGTCTTGCTAACTTAAGTTACGTAAAATATTCAAAAATGACCTTATCCGGTTGTATTGTGCAAGAACTAAGAACAACAGGAAGTAAATAGGAATTAAGAAGGGAGCTTTAACGAAAAGCTCCCGGTACTGTTCACTTTAACGAAAAACCACATTTTTACACTAAAAAGTCAATCCTGGTACTATTCACTTTACCCTTTATTTTGTCCTTATCATTAAAATTCAAAGTTTTCAAGTCATTTTCATTAGTTTTCCTAATTAAGAAAGGGTCAATGTTAGGAGATTAAACTAAGAACCAAAAAAAAAATGTAAAAAAGAATTTAAAATGTGTAATGTTGAGAGATCAAAATTTTAAACTAAGTCTCACACACCTTTTTAATTTTTGGTCGTCGGATTAGATGAATTGAAGAAGATCAACGGACATAAATTATCAAGGGGTGTGTGAGAAGTAAAATGGGGTGTGTGGATAGCACACCCCTTTGTCAATTATATGATAGTTGTGGATAATTAAATTATGAATTAAGTATTAATTAACGTGTTTATTTTCTATTAGTATCGTATCTATTCATTTATAAATTTAGTCTAAAAAATTAGTCTACCCAATATTATTCTTTAAAAAAATGACATGCACTAACACAATTGATGATACACACTCTCTCTCTTCTTTACATGAAAAGTTGGTAGGATATTTTTGTTTGTGTAATTATAATGTTCTGGCCACGAAGAGAAGATTAAATTATTATTATTATTATTATTATTATTATTAAAATACGGTGTTGTTTGAATGTCATTATCTTCCCCTCCTTCAAGATAAAGGAGTCGATTATTATTATAACTTATTTGGGATGAGAAAACAAAGAGTTTATGTATAGTGCTATGTATATGCCTGCCTATATTCTTGAAGATTATAACCCATACGCATGCAGTATAAAATAAAGGTATATAAATGTTTAGTCCATTAATAATAGTACTTAAGCAGTAGTTCAGTGGCTGCAGAGAAAGGTTTGATGAGAATATATTAGGCCACTACACTAATTATAATAAGACCAATAAAGCTAGAAGTAGCTTGCAAAATAGAATTGTTAGTCTATAATATATTTTGATAATGTGACTGCAAATTCTTTCACTGCATACTTTTAGTAGAGGGAAGAGGAAGATGAAAATGGTAAATATACACACGCACACACGCACACATAAATCTCTCTCTGATATGAAGACATGCTGTCATGACGATCGTAATATACCTTAAAAAAATTACAGCGCACTGATTTTGGTCATTGTATAGTTTGGACAAAGCTCCACTTTGCTCTAATATATAGTTTCTACTGTTGTGATTTAAATTCGTAGTGTATTAGTATTATGATTTATATAATTTCTACTTCATTTTTTTAGTGCGAGGTATGATGTTAGATATTTTTGAAAGGTGACTTCAATATTAATTTATTATGACTCATTATGTGGTTTAACTTAAATCTCTCATACCTTAATATATAGGGAAAAAATTACGTAAATAACAAATTCAATGTACAAATTTGAATAAATTACATCACAGTGCAACAAATTTTCCATTTTCCTGGACTTTTGTGTCCGTTTTTTTCTAACTTAGACTGTTTTTGTCCGCGGTCCTACTTTTTGCTCTTCTTTTGTTTAACGCAAGATTTTTAGTGAGCAAATCAAAACGGAAAATTCAATCAGATCCATGGCGGGTTTGATTGTTTGAATTCATCTCAACTTTTTCTTCTATGAATACAAAATTTCGTAAGCTTTCCGTTCAAGAATCAAAACTTCCAATGTAGTGTCGGCAAGCTCTTCTCCACGTGTTCCATACTCTATGGCGGGAGAACGCTTGGTTGTCAATGGACATAAAGCTTTTGATATTTTCTAATACAACACGCCATAATTCTTATTCTTTATTTTTAGGGAATGCATAATTCGTTCATGAAAGGTGTTCCATCTTTTTACTTGATCTTGTAACTACCATATCCACTTCCCAGTGAACAAACCTGCCTACAGCAAATTCACCTAAAGCGAAACTACAAAACTTGCCTATAGTGAGACCAAACAACTCATATTGAGTATGGAGAAATCTTACATCCTTTTTTGAAAGTTAAACTAGTGACCTAGTTTATCCATTAACGGACATCTTATCCCTAAGCGCCAACTCTCTTCAAAATTACGTTTGAATTAATGACATGGCATGAGTATTTTTATGAAATCTTGCCTCAAATTTTAATGATGTATTTCATTAAGAAAAGATTTTAAGAATTTAATTAACTTTCATTCGTTAAATTCTCATGTTTAACCTAAGTATGATTACACTTGACTTTGAGGGACCGAAAAATCCAATTGTCCTTTGGAATCTGATTTGGGACTAGATGGATAACTCTCAATAACATAGGTAAAAACGTGTCCGATTCGGAGCTAATAACAAAGAAATTAAAGGCGTTTCAAGTTGAATACTTTGATAAATTGGAAAAATTCGTTAACACATTTAGTCTTCTCCATTTATCAGTGTGGCACATGAGATCATGACATGGTAAATCTATATCGTGCGATCACTATTTATGAGTACCATGTAGCAATGTGGTGCACAAGATTTGACCTGGTACATTCTTATCGTGTGTTCACTACTTTGGAGATCGGTTGGTCTTCTAGTACAAGCATCATCTCCATTCATTAGAGTTATAAAGTCATAAGAGGTGATCATGCTTAGTTAATCTACAATTGGAGATCACTAACTCTTTAGTAAGCAGGATTTGGTGTTGTTCATGTTGGTACACGACCCCATAATTTGTAAGCGTCAGCCAAATTAAGTTGCTCCAGCCCTAGCTTGTACTTTATTATAAATATGAAAGAGACGATTAAATACATGTGGGTGAAAAGAGTGTTCAATTAAACAGTAAATAGTATAACCAAAAAAAGTTTTAGAAAGTAGATAGTGTGAGAATATTATAATTGTTTTGACAATGAGAACCATACTGTTAGAACCAAAAGGATGATGAAGTATCTTTCGTGCTGTGAATGGTGTTGAAAATTTGAAATTTCGACACAATCATGCAACTTCCTTGTTGGGTTTATTCTTGAGCATAATGAAAAGGAGATTAGGCATTTTTGTCAGATCAAATGTGCGATATTATCTAAGCACCAACACAAGTGATGCCATCCCAACTAACCACATCATTTTCTTAATTTTTGAATTTCAAATTAAGCACACGATTAATCAGGACCACATCATTTTAGAGCTAAAATCCAATAAAAATAATAATTATATATTAAGCATCTATCCACGCTTTAATCCATAAATACAACTAGTGCTTCCACATTTGGAAGGGACTTTTCACGATATCAAGCTTTAACCCTTGACACAAATGAAATGATGACAAGAGAAGCTTTTGCCCAACTAAGTAATAATGCTAGAGCTACAATAATTTCTAGCTTCCCCATAAGGAGGAAATTCCTTAGTCTGTTTCTATTGTGAGTCTGTGACATCATTTCATCATACAAAAGTCATAATTGAAAATGTTTATTATCTTTATCATCATCTGAACTTTGTTTTTAGAAAAATTTATTCGATTTGTAGACAATTTATTCATTCATATATGTCAAACAAACTAATAATTATGAGAATAATTAGTACCATCATTATCTAAGCTATAATATAGATTAAACCAAACTCAAATTTGAATCAATTAAAAATTATGACATATTTTTATTTTATTTTTTTGATATAACAAGATTAAGGGAATGAGGGATTGAACTAAGCCACTCAATGAACAAATCATACTAATTTGGTTTGAACACACCTTTGACAAGAATTGAATTTAAGAGCTCTCATTTATTTAAAACTTTTGATATTTCAACATGTATAATCCATTTCAAAGTCATGAATTTTTTTTTTTAGGGTAAAATCATGTGAAATTAACATATATGTTAGTTCGGAGCAATTTAATATGTATAGAAAATGTTTCAGCTTTCACGTTTAAGCATTAGATTCCACGATCTGCATATATAATGCATACTTTAATTAA